TATATATATATATGTACGTACGTACGCACGTACATACATATACATATACATATACATATACATATACATATACATATACATATACATATACATATACATATACATATACATATACATATACATATACATATACATATATATATAATTATAATATACATACATATGCATGATGATGATGATGCCTATTGTTGCTTTTATTTTCACTATTACCTTTTCTCTTACTCTTCTTTTTTGTATCGTTATGATATCTCTCTTTTCTTCTTGTTATTTTGGTTATATTATGCCGACATGCTCTGTCATCGTTCAAGCGATCCTTGGAAACTGCTCTCGCCCAAAGCTGCCGTTGCCATGGTGCGGCCGCCACACTGCCATCACAGAGTCTCTAGCACTGTGTCCTGAACTGAGCTTCCGATGTTGCTGCAGTGCTGCTCCATGCAAGTTCATGCCGCCTGGAAAAACACTGCACTCTGACTTCTGGCCTAAGCAGGGTACCAGGAATCTTGTCAGGGTGGGATTTTGGCTGGAAATTCATGTTTAGCAGCCGGCCCGATGTTTTCAGCTCTGCGCTTCGTCTGAGAAGCTTTAGAAAGGATCTGCGCAAGGACGGATCAGCACATGACATGGGCGAAAATGCAGGGTAATGGTAATGGTTGCTGCAAAGCTGGCCAGCTTGCATCGATGTCCCTGGCGCCCTTTTCTCCGCCGCGTTTGTCGATATGCCATACCTAAAAAGGGGCCGATTGAGCAGCTCAAGCCGGTTGGAAGTGATTCAATGCCTCGAAACACGCAGAAACGCCTGTGGCAGCAAAGACCAGCATCCTTCAGCAATGCAGCTCAGCTGTCGGCTTTCGCGGTGAAGTTACACTGGTGCCAAAAGCTGCGTCTGCAAACGCTCCAAGCGTGTGGACACCGAGTTGTCGAGCACGGCCTGAATGATGATACAGGTTACATTCACTCAGCCGGCAGGACTGTACAGTATGGGATGGGTGTAGGGTTTAGGGCATACTATGGGCATAAAACGATTCAAATGACAAGTCAGTTCTCTGACAGCACGGCAGAATGCGCTTCATGCCTCGTCCATCTTCACCACAAGGCCTCCAAGCCTTCGGAATACAGAGAGTCTTCATGGCAGCCGAAGGTGTCGAGCAGCATCCAGGCACCCAGGTTTGCTTTGCTCTAAGGCGCGTGCAATGCTGGATTGGTGTTATACTCCATGATAAGCTTGGAGCCTCGGTCGTCTGAGGCAGTCGATCAATGTCAATCCCTCACAAGTATGCACTATGTGCCCCCGTGCATGGCTTGCTCTGAGTGTATATACATATATATATATATGTAACAAAGAGCGAGCGTGAGGCACAGAGAGGCCTTCGGGCATAGAACAGAAGGCACGTTGCATGGCACAAAACATGACAATGCAAGCAAGCAAACGAAAACACAGATTGAAATGATTGTCCCGAAAGCATTTGGAGAGCAGCGAGGTAGTGAGCACCGCGACACCTAACAGCATCTTATCCATCCATACATCCATTCACCCAAACTCCGGCTCAGGGTGCGGTTGCTGATGCCACTGAGGCCGCTGCCCTCAGCCCGTTTCTGCATAGCTGCCTCGACCTGTCACAGCGGAAGCATAGTCCTGCTGCACCGCACGTTCATCCACTGGCAGCCACTGCTTGCCTGCTTTTTCTGGCCATCCGACAGGGAAGCTGCAGAGGTCACCTGGAGCTTAAGGGGCAAGCTAAGATGTCATGAGAACATGAGCAGCTCACAGCGGGGTCTGGCTTCAAGTGCCGTGCCTTGCAGAGAACCAAGTTCTTCTCTGCGCGGTAGAAGTTCTGATCGGCACGACAAGATCAGGTGCAGTACGCTTTCGCACATCGGACAGCCATGTTCGCCTGCTCATGCAAAGCTTGACTTAAAACCATCGACCATCTGCTAGTTGCTCGGAACGGGATCCATCATTACGGCAGGACTGCTGGGCCTCAAAGATGTCGATCATGCGGGACAGCAGATGGGCCCGCTTGTTTTCCACCAAGACCTACCAGCCCAGGCTCGTCCGGCTTTTTTCAAAAAAATCGGTCCCCGGAAGAGCCGTTAAGGTAGGTTCCCCTTGTCAGTTTGTATTCCTCATGGTCCCTCTTGTAAAGGTGACCTTTGCAACAACCCTTACATGAATAACGGCCCTGCAGCAGTTTCTAAAGAGCCTTGAGGAAGTTCAGGACTGCACCATCGATGGAGGCTTTCTTGCAGACGGCCTCGAAGGCGGCCACCTGCCACTGAACTCGGAACAGCAGCGGGCATCCTAGTCCTAGGAGCTGCTGATCATAATAACTGAAGCACGGCAGCTGCAACTCAACGAGTATCAACAACACTACAACTCATGAAACCCAAACATGGAGATGATTCTGAGATGAGTCTCGCAGAAACCACTACCGTTCATAGTAGGGAGGCGCTAAATTGGGCGAACCTTGCTCTCCGGCTCGATCCCGGGAGTCTCAATGGCCAACTTGAACTCCTTTGAAATCATCTTGGCTTTAGGTTTTTTGGGGGTTCAGAAGGGTTGGGGCTTTAGGCTGAGAATCTTGAAGGTTCAGGTGGTATTGGTGTGAAGTTTTGTCTTTTCGGGTTGGGAGATCGAGGGTTAGCATGTTGATGCAGAGAGAACATGCCAGAATGTCCAGCTCGGCAGAGAGAAGAATCGAGTCGCAGCGCGGCTGGCTGCTCTGCACGTATTGGCTGCGGATGCTGCCGCAAAGGCTAACACTGTTTTGCGATGCGCAGCGGAATTTCGATAGCTGCCCGGCTGTCTCCTACTTCAAAGCAGGCTATACTCTCTCGACTCTCAACAATTAGATGCCTGATGCCGCCCGTCCTGAGACGACTCCATCATTTCACGCAGCCCCTGCAAGTCACCATAGACCTGCCGCAGCAGTTCACGCAATCCCCCAGTGATTCCGCTTCTGCTAGCCCTGGCATCAACAAAGGACGCCGAGAAAACTGGCTAGCCATGAAAATCCCGTCACCGAAGAGCCTTGTCCAACTTGTCCATGGATGCCATAAAGAGAGCCGTTGCATATCGACCCTCCAAGGTGCCATCCTGGCAGCTCAGGCACTCGTCAGGCAGCTGCTGTAAAAATTATTCTGACATGGTATGTTCAGTTCTTTGCGTCTTTAGGGGTCAGTTTTCTGACGTGCAGGCATGTGTGGGTGTGTGATGGTGTGTGTACAAGAAGCTAAGACTTAGTGAACACAAACGTCCGAATTTCAGCAAGTCCCTCGAGACTTTGGGTGAACTCCTGAAAAGCCGACAGCCTGGCGACATCTGCCCTTGAGCTTTGACTTGTTGCGAAGGGCTACCACAATGAGAAGTGTGGAATACAGCTGACCCGGACAGCTGTAGCCCTGCCTGTCATACGAGTGTGTGTGCTGGTCTTGGGTGTAGATTGTCACTGTCCAAGGTTGCGTGATTCAATAGAGTCTACAGGATGTGGTTTCCGTAGCTGCCGATGTCTTTCTCTTGCTATCCCTGGAGCTGTGGCATTCGCCACTTCAGGAGCCTTGCCATCTCGAAACGATCGAACGCGGTAAAGTGGTACTAATATTGCGCAGGGGGGAAAAGAAGGATGCACCACTGACGATACATGACGATGTTTTTTGTCAAGCTTATGACGCCGTGCAAGGTGCAAATCACGCGAGCACGAAACTGGACAAATATCTGCCGCAAGTTCTGCGCCTCCATCTTGGGCTTCTTTGCTGCCTGTGCAAATTGCGGTCAATGATGAGGCTACGTCGGTTCAGTGGTCTGAGTGCCTCTCCTGCAAAGTCTGCAACACTTTGCTGAGCTTGTGGCTGCTGCAAAACATCGCGATGCCAACACCGAGGTGGCAGGGATAGCAGCTGGCGCAACTGGCCGCATTGCAGCCTCAGCCATCGACAGCTGGGTGGGTGCCGGGTCTACGCGCACAGTCTTTCTTGCTAAGCCTCGCACATGGCAAACGAGGCTTCGAGAAGCTCGGGACCAAGTCCTGCAACGAAGTCCAGGCTGTTTTGCTGCCCAAAGCTTAGTCGGTGAACACTGATGAATCCAGTGTACCGTGACCTGACTATTTAGCTCAATGCTGAGAATTATTTCGATCAATATGTCCTATGCATAGGGGCCTCGTCGTCACTACCATTTTAACATTTTAAAACGTTCTTTTGCTGTTGTACTTGAAGATAATAAGAATGCTACTAGAGCCGAGAGCAGTCGAGCATTGGCGGACCTGGCTGCGTGCTGGAGCATGGTGGAGGACGCCTCAAGGCTCTTCCAGCTCCAGATATGCGCAAGAGAAACGGAACCTGTGACTCACAAAAAGGAGAGTGAGGCGCTGACAGCTTTTCGCAAGTAAAACTGTTTAATCAATGAACCTCCTTGTCATCTCGAGCCATACAGCTGAACAGTCAGGGTGATAGTCTTGGCTATCAGGCAGGCCATGAATGCAGCAGCGACATGCTTTCTTGCGTTGATGTGCCTCTCAACTGGCCGACTTGTGTTTGCAAAACAGTCGGTCAGCAAGGACATCGTTGGCACTTCTTCAGCATACTCCTGCCATTACACTGCTATGGCCGCAAGTTACCATTTCCCAGATCAGCCTTCTGAACATATAATATCAGTAGGAGCAGGCGGTGCATTTGCAGCAGTAGTCAGCAGTCCCCATCGTCCCGGTACCATGGTGGTGGCTGATGGTTTCTGTTGTTGCTGCCCTGGCTCCGGCAGCAGCTGATGTGCGGATTCTTATCGCAGCAGCGGTCAAGGGTGTGCCTGTAGCATGCTACTGGTGCACTTCAGACTATGATTGCCAAGCACCTCGCCGGCATGGCAAGAAACTTTTCTCCAGGCCCAAGCTACCCGCCGCACAGGCTTCCGGTTCTGCTTGAGCTTTGGGCCGGCTACCACTACTCGTCGTGGAGCTATCACCTGCCACCAGGGGATCATTTCGAAGCGGCTCCGGGTTTCAGATGCGCTGCTCCACTGACGAGGAAGCCTGGGCTGCGGAATCTCGGCGACGGCGCCGTTGCTTCGCTTTTGCAAGCACCTGCCAGACGCGCCCTTGAGACGAGAAACTATGAAGAGAAGGACGCACGCCGCTCACGATGCCGCACGTCTGGCCTGGTGCGGCTCGTCCTGCAAAGCCACCTGTATATCTGACACAAGCTCAATCCACGGCGCTCAAAGAAATCAGGTTTGGGAGCCGCAGGCCACAGACTCAAGCAATCCATGGAGGCAAATAGCCACAACTTGGCCATTCACTTGTCGCGACTGCGACTGCATGGGCTGACTCGGAATAGTCGGAAGCTTGTTGGCGGCCGGCACCTCAACTTGCAGCTAACCACAAAGGCCAGAACATCGCTCGTGGGTACCCAAACTATGGCAAATGTGCGATGCTTCACATCGGCTGAAGCTTCTTATTCCATTTCGTGTTCTTTCAACCTAGTAACTAGTCAGACCAAGTTAAGAACCACCTCCCATGAAACAAGGTTGAATCTGGCAGTCTGGGCACCCAGATGTCTTCAGCGCAGGGGGCACCCCAGCCACGCAGTCGGTCCTGGCCAAGCAGCTTCTTTTTTGCAGGCGCCACGTGTCTAGGGCGTGCAGAATCTGCAAACTAGTGTGCATATATATATATATACACACACACATACTCTCTCTCTCTCTATATATATATATATGTACTGATTGCTCTTACGCATACCAGAGGAAACGCTCAGCAAAGCCGTCAAGCAGTCCTCTTTAGGCATCGTGGCTGTGTGCAAAGAGCTTGAGGAGGCTGCGGCAGTGCTGCTCGACAAGAAAATGGCCTGCACCGCATACCAAACTCGAACCCTGCAACTTGCCGCAAGATAGACTATGCAGGAGATGTTGCAACCTTGCAAAACCTTGTCATGAAACAGAGTTTAAACAGGCCTGAGAGTTGCATGGTCTGTCTGGAAGGTCCGATGCCAGCGGGCCAAGTCCCATAGCTCTTCTGAGCTACGTTTTGCTAGCTACAAATAGTACACTTCCCTCAAGAGCTAGTCCGCGCGCCTTGCACGACATATCACATGAGACAAAGGATCAGAGTTACTCCGCTAATGTTCACTCCAGCAGGCCATCTTCTAGCCCCAAGCATAGAGCCAAATGTGTGCAAAGAATGTGTGTGCAAGGTGCTCTGCAGGCCTTGGTTGTTGCGCGAGATTGATGCTGGTACTTAGTGCATCCAGGCTTGGAGAGTCATGTTGCTCAAGGAGTTGGATGTCAAACCTTCTGCATGCAGCCCAGGCAGGGAATCTTTGAAGCTTGAGTCTGAAGCTGCCCGCTCACAGCCGGGTTGTCTGCAATTGCACCAACAGCAAGCCTATATCAACACGCCTCCGTCGCCTGGACTTTGAGGGGCTTGGTCTCAACGGGTTGACGACCCCCCTTCTCCACTAAACTTCAGCTGTCAAATTTGCACAGACCCTGTTCCTCCTCCATGTAGCCCAGAAGTGCTGGGCATTTACTACAGCTTCGTCAACAGTCCGACAAAAATACCCGGTATCGAAAGCTATGCGAATGTTCAAGATTAAGACCAATGGTTCTTCCTTCTCACCTGAAACTTTTGGGGCGCGTCTTACACCATCCAGGAAGCTTCGAATCGATCCATTTGAGGACCCACAGAAGTGGATTCCGACTTCTCTGTGCAGAATCTTTGCATGGCTGGGTCCTTTCAGATCAAACACCCCCACATCCAGCACAACCCCACGCACACACATTCCGACAGATAGGTGTGTCAAGTTCCTTCTCAGGACAGTCAAAGTTCCCACTCCGCCACTCCTCTGACTCTTCAACATACGCAATTATGCGCCATAAGATGGCCAATCGTCGCTTGACCGACCCAGCCATTTCACGCTGCGGGGGGCAAGGCGCAGATCATCCTAACACATCCCCGCGGCTTCCAGGCAAAAAGGAGAGTTCTTCTTCGCATAGCACAACGCACGTTTGAAGAATCTTGAAGCACTTCTACTTCTGCAAATCCCCCGTCGTCGGCCAAGCTTTGTGCCAGCTCCCGAGGGTTCAAACTCTAGCAGCCTTCATGTGGAGCTGCAGCAACACCTAGGGGTTGTTCTGCTGAAAGGCAGCAGCTCGCTACTTCACGGATCCCCAAAACAAAACAGCTTGAGGAAACCCCGTCTGCTGGTACATCCATACCACATCGTTCATGCTGCTTGGCAGCGCCAGTCTCCAGCGACAGTTCACACCACTCACGTCGGCTGCCTTCAGAAAACAAGCATACTGCGCTGCTTCTGACTTCTCGTGCCTGTATGCATGCGTTTTTTCACGAGTGTCGCTCGCAACACGCTGAGGCTCAAGCTCCGAGTGCGGAGATGGCACCATTTTGTGCTTCTTCCTAGGGAACACCGTTCTTAGAACAGGAGTCAGGAATGACTGGACTGCTCCGAAGCATCCGACTGCCAAAGAACCACGGCAATCCGCATCAGGAGGTAGATGATCATGAACAGCCTGCTCCATTGGCTGCTGTAGTACTAGTACTAGTACTAGTACAAGTACAAGTACTAGTACTAGTACTAGTACTAGTACTAGTACTAGTACTAGTCCTGCTACCACTACTACTACTACTACTACTACTGCTATTATACTACTACTACTACTGCTA